TGGGATCCTACAGCGCCAGGATCCCAAGGGACCACAGGGTCACCCATGCAGAACAGTTTCAGTGGCGTCTCCAGAGTGGACAAACCAGGACCCAGGAGATCCACTTTCTTAAGAATCGGCCAGTGAAAAGCTGACGACTAGCAGCAGAATGTTGTCTGATGAAGTGCCGGAAGCTGAGTGGTCCTCAGGCTGGAAGACACGCTGCCTGCTCAGAGTGGAGCCCCCATCACGGCATGGGGAAGCAAGGCTTCGGGACCTCCATTTGCTGCTGCGGCACAACTGAAATGAGAAGGACAAACATCCGTGAGGATCCATGAACAACCCAAACATGAGAAACTGGAAGTTGTCTGACATGAGATGGAATGTCTGAAGACAGATATCCCGGGCCTTCGTGAGCTGAAACGGATGGGTGGGCCTTCTTGGATCAAGCATGTGAATGGTCGACTCTGCTGGCCAAGACCCATTGAAGAGAAGCCGCTTTGTAGCCGTTGTCAAAAAACAGAACCAAAAAAATCACACCAAGATCCACCCTGAAGTCCAATGCTGTCGGCGATAGGAGGCTGTCCATGTACACACCCAAGGAAGAACAGGCAATGTGATGGCCCTTGGATTTTACACACCAACCACAAGGGCCAAGGAGGAAGAGAGATTTCAACCAACCAAAGGTATTCGTAATTCCAGTGATTGGAATGCAAAAGCTGGAAACAACGGAAAAGGATCAGTGGTTAGACAATCGGAGGGAGCAAACACCACCAGGATCTCATCTTCCTGGAGACCAATCCACACAAACGGAAAACAGCAAATACAGATGAGACTGCAAAGAGAGTGGACCTCTCGACACTGCTGGTGGGGCGGTGACAGGGTGTGACCACTGTGGAAGATAGCAGGGCCTTTCCTTAAAGAGTTGGAGATGGAAACACCCTGTGATCCAGCAGTCCCATCATCCGTATAGACCCTAGAGATGTTAAGAACTGAGGATCGGATCAGTAGAGGCACCCCCATGTTCGTTGCAGCATGATTCACAATCGCAGAGACCGACACAGCCTAGGTGCCTGTCACCGGGTGAACGGAGTGACTAGTGGTGGAACAAGCACAATGCAACACTCCACGTCATTCCGGAATAAGGAGGAACACCTGGGAGACATCAGGCTAAGTCTACTAGTTGACCCCAAAAGAACAACTATTGTGCAAATCCCACTCTTAGAGCAAGTCCAGAACAACGCAGGAATGAAGATCTTGGATGGCTGCTCGCGTGGGAAGGGGAAAGAGGGTCAATCGCTACCTAGACTGCGGGCACATATTAGCTGGGGTGGAGAGAGAGGCCACGTGCAACGCAAGGGAGGACGGTGCAAATGGCGTCATTGACACTGGGAGGGGCCCCAGTGTGGAAGGCAGCAACTCTGATGTACACAGCCCTGCAATCACGGGAATCACCAACAACACCCAGGTGGACCTGCAAGGTGGGCAGATGGGGGAAGGGGATGCCGCCATGCTCACCTGTGGGCTTCGACTCCTTTCGACTCCTCTTTGGTGTAGGTTTTGTGCCAACTACATCACTGGGTCCTTAAATGTACATCAACAATCCCTTGGTGGCACCAAGTTGTAAGTGGAAGCTTGTGTGATGATGTGGACATCAAGTTGAAGGGGGGGGGGGAGGTTGGCTACAAAAGATCTCTTTAAGGCGTTAGAGAGCGCAGAGGTCACTTAAAAGATCTCCCTCAAGTCGTGGCCTTTTGGAAGCGACTCATAGGCACCTGAAAGCTGGACCAAAGAAAGGATGCCTTTGAATGGCGGGTTGTCAACGACTGTTGAACGATCCTGGGCTGCAAAGTACAGCCAAGAAGCTCCTTACACGTGAGGAAGGTGAGACTCGTTCTCACGTACTCTGACTCGCACACATGTTGTCAGGAGAGACCAGTCCCCGGACAAGGATAACAGGCCCCGTAAAGCGGACAGTTGGTGAAAGGGAGGCAGATTTCCATAGGGTGGGTTGACACAGGGGTTGCCGAAATGAACTCAAATGTAGCAAGGGTTATGCAGAAGACAAGGGACCAGGCAGTGCTTCCTTCTGGTGGCGCAGAGGTCCCTCCAAGTGGGACCCGACCGGAGGGCCTCGAGCAACCACAGATTTTGAAACACCTGCAGCGTCTGAGCCCAGTGCTGGGAGCAGGTATGTTTCACTGGTTGTTGCTTTCCTCCCTTGGTCCTTTTGTAAGAGTCGCCCTCCGCTAAGGTGCCCGAGCAGGGCCACACTGCGTCTCCGCATGAGGCTGAGAGGTGAGAGAGACTCGCCCATGACCTCCACCACCCACTCCACCCAGGCACCGTGTGACATTTTTACCTCAGTCCCTGCCCCGTTAGAGTTCTTACCCCATCGCCTGACAATGAGGAATATGCCAAGAATGTAATCTTATACAACAGGTCACTAGGAGCGATGATGAAACAGTCCAATCTCCCCAGCACCAGTGCACGCACGAGTGTGAGTCAGACCTTGATCCCAGCCCTCCTCCCACGAACCGGACTCTGGCCACTGTTTTCTCCAGGCTGCCAGGCTGAGCTGAGCTGAGCTAATGGTATGGTGTCCTTGCAGACGGCTAGACAGGTAGCTTGGAGGACTGGAAGTCTGACTCTATCCAGAGGCAGCTCGGCAGAAAGGCCTGGGGATCTACTTCTGAAAAGTCTGTCCTTGACACCCTGCTGAGCATTGTCCTTCCTTGACACGCAGGGGTCACTTGATGGCAGCTGGTGTTCTACAGCCATTGGGCTGCTAACCCAAGGTGAGCAGTTTGAAACAACCATCCGCTGCCTGGGAGAAAGATGAGGCTATTTCCTCCTACAGAGATTTACAGCCTTGGAAACCACAGGGCAATTTCACACCGTCCTTTTTAAAAAATAATCATTCTATTGGCGGCTCATACAACTCCTATCACAATCCATACATATAGCCCGTCCTTTTGGACTGCTCTGAGCCGGACTGGACTGGATAGTAGTTGGTAGTCCGTTCTTTGCTGCGGCCTCTCCCTCTCTCCTCTTCTCAGACCTTGCTTGTTGCATGACCGTCTCTGTGGTTGCAAGGGGTGCCAGCCCCCCACCACTAATCATGGGTTCGATAAACGCAATTGTACGGTTGAGATATATAAATATTATGTTAAAGCCATCGAGAGCATGAGAAGTAATAGAGTCAGACCCATTTCATGGTAGCAATGCTCACCTCAGCCCTGCTTGGTGGTCCATGTGGAGAGAGGGGGAAAGGAAGGAGGACAAGGGGAAGGGGAGTGAGGACGGAAGAGAAGACGGGGGGAGCCGACGAGAGGTCAAGGGAGGAGCCAAGAGAGAACTTTTTATTGCTAACCCAGGCCTATATATCTTTGGTGGGGAGTGCAAGCCCTCTAATTACAGGTAAAGACATATGTCACAGGAAGGGGTTGCACTATAGGTAATACAGCAATGACAAGGGGACAATCTAGGGATACACACGCAATAGGAAGAGGAGGGATTGGGGGGTATACATGTGACAAGATGGGTGGATCCTAGATTCAAGATGGCAGCCTAACTTTGGATGTCACCGAGCCAGTTTGATATCAGTAGGGTATGAACCTCACCTACAGGAACCAAGCTAATGGTCGCAAGCCTTTAGGGAGTAGTCATTGCCCTTAACAACAAGGAGCGGGGCCTACCTGTCTGGCAATTGAATGCCTCCAGGGAGGATGTCTCTAAGCATCTGACCTCCCACCACATGCTGGCAAAAAGCCCCTAATGCTTGGCATGTCTTTGGGGAAGACAAAGCTGGGGAAACGTCTCTTTATAATCCCACAAGTCTCCTCTAGATGACTAGCTACAGGAAGACCCATCGTCAACCCCTAACGAGGTGTCTTGGATCCATTGTGGACCGGGCTGTTCTCGTGTGTCATGCTCATCCTCTGTCCACGGTGCAGGAGTGGGTGGGAGGTGGACACCGGTGATAACGAAACACACGAGTGAGCGCAGGACGAGCTGAGCTCATGGAGTCACGAGGCTCAAAGGGAGAGATCACAGGCTCCTTTGCAGGTGAGTGTCAGACCCTCCCAGGCCCAGGTACAGCTCTGGGCTGGGCACTGAGGAGAAATAAAGAGTGGAATTGGGGAGAGCGGGTGGCGGTTCTGGGAGGATTTTCGCCTTCCATGCCCGAGGCTCCAGTTTGACTCCCGGTCACAGCAGGTCACGCGCAGCCACCTGTCTGGGAGCTTTGCGGGCTCAGTGATGGGGAGTTTCAGACGCAGGAAGGAGGACGAGGAACAAAGGCCCAGGAGCCCTGGTTGCTCAGTAGCTAGGAGTGGGGCTACAATCCTCGAGGTTAGCAGTTTGAAACCACTAGCACTACGAGGGAGAAAGATGAGGCTATCTATTCCCTTTAATCACAGTCTCCCTCCCTCCTCGGCCCACCCACCTTTGTGAACCCTCATTATACATTTTATTACTTTCATACCTTACACCGTCCAGGTGCTGATACCAAGGGCTCAAGTAGAAAGAAAATGTTATGAAAATGATGATGGCAACATGTGTACACATGTGCTTGACAAGATTGATGCATGCATTGTTTTAAGATCTGTAAGAGCCCCCAATAGAATGATTTATAAAATAATAATAATAATAAAATAAAAGATTTAATAGAAGAAAGAAATGAATCACAGTCTAAGGGTCCTGTAGGGTCACTATTTGTCACCGTTGGCTCCATGGCAGTGAATGCAGAGGAAATGCCGGGTTATCTTCTGAAATCAGCCAAGGAAAACCCTTTGCAGCTGGTCCTGGGCATGGTGCAGGGGCACCATCATGTTCCTGTGGTGGACAGGGCTCCTGGGAGGAGAGAGTAGGGTCTCAGGGTCCAGCTCATCTGTGGTCATGTGGCATAAGGCCCCTCAACATGCAGGCATCTAAGGGACTCGGGCGTGGTGCTGGGAAGAGTGTCTAGAGGCGGCTGGCAGGTGGGGTGTGTGCCAGGTCCTTACCAGACGCTGTTTTAGTTTTAGGAACATTGAGGAGTTCTTCCCAGAAGACTCTGCAGGCCTTGGTCATCCTGCTGCTGGCCCTGAGCTTGTTCACCTCGCTGCTGAGCGCGGGGGTCACCTTGTACAACAGCATTAGCAACCCCTACCAGACGTTCCTGGGGCCCACGGGAGTGTACACCTGGAACGGGCTCAACGGTGAGTACCCAGGAGAAGCGCTAGCCACTACCCTGTCTGCCCAGAGGTCTGCCTGCCTCTCACACGCATGCGCACACTTGGCCACATGCAGTGTCCATCCCCTCCAGGGTTGGGCAGGGGCGGGGCTGGTGCTTCGTCCACTGACGGCCCTTACTGGGCATCTTGTAGTGGTAGCATTCTCTTCCATGTGCCCTGGTGGGAGTTGGGGGAGGGGTGCACTGGAACTTTCTGCATTTGAGCATAGATGGCTAGGCATCATGCCGAACAGACACACTGAGCCTCTGTATGTGTGGAACGCCGAGATGTGCAGAGGTAGGCAATGTGCACATGCTCTCAGGCACACACCTGTATACACACAAGCACACACAGCATGTGCACCTGCACATTCATGCACATGGTCATGTGCACATGCACACACGCATATGCATATGCACACTTGTACGCACCTGTGCACCCTGATTGGAGTCACTGTGAGCTTCCATCCCAGCATGGCATGTCTGCTTGGCTGAACAACATGTTCTGGTTCTTAAGGGGACTTGAGGGACCTGGCCCTTCTCGTGGGAGGGCTGCCAGGTGATTCTGTCTGCAGTCGCGTGGGGGTGGGGGAATGGAGCCAGGGTGAAGTGGACCACAGCCTTGCCTACGCCCACCCAGAGTCAAGGTCCAGCTCAGCAGGGTTCCCTTACCTGCCCTGCTCCCTTCAGGGGCTTATCCCTGCCAGAGACTCAGGTGAATCTCAAGCTCTCCTTGACTCCCCTACCATGCACCCTGACATGGTGGTTGGGGGGTGGGTGTGCCTGTCTCTGCTATGCCCACCAAAGAGGGATGCCACCCTCAGGGAGGAGGGTCACTTGGCGGGTGCAGGTGTAAGAGCATGTCCCCTGACATGATGAAAGTGGGTGATGGCAAGTGACCCAGGGCACATGGCGGTGGCAGGCAGGCTGGTGCCACATGGGGACATGGCATCATTCAACACCAGTGTGTGCCACTTCTCAGAATACCCTCCCTACCCCATCTCGTCTCCCTCTCACACTGGTTGGTGGGAAATGGTGGGTCCAGGCCACTCCATGCCATGGGGCAGGGGCAGCACCATGACACATGCCCTGGGTCACACCCACCCTGGGTGGGAACTTGTAGCTGGTGCTGATGAAAGGCTTCCCCTGGGTCCCTGCCAAGCTGCCCTGTGAGGTCACTGATGGAGGTGGAGTTGGGGGGAGCAATAGGGCTGCCCCAGGGTGGTCAGGAAGAGCCTTGGCCCCACCCCCATGAGACAGGGACCTTCTAGAAGGGTGGCACACTCTTCCTAAAGAAGCCAGGCTGACGGTTGGGACCCTCGGCTTGCGCTGGCCGGCCTGGGTGGGCAGTCCTGTTCCAGACCTGCATTGTAGCCCCTCCATCTTGGCCTCCAGCAGGTTAAGCCTTATCCGTACATGAGTGGCCTTCTCCTGTCATCCTGAGACCCCAGCCCCCGCCCGGAGCCTACCCGATGCATGGCGACCCCAGGCCTGGTACACAGGACCCCAGGTTGCTACTTTTGGGGAAGGGGATCACCAGACCTTTCTCCTTAGGCTTCTCTGTGTGGAGAACCACACTCACTGCCGACACCGAGAACTCCATCTCTGGGTGGAAAAGCAAGCCTGTCCCCCAAGGGGCACAGCATCCCCCAGGGTCGGGTCGGATGCCTCAGCTGGCATGGTGAGGAGCATTCTTCCCCACGGGCCCGTCGGGCTGAGTGGCAGGAGGCTGAGGGCCCAGACCAGTGCAGGCATCCCTACCCCGAGCTGTCTCTGTGGGCTGTGGCTCAGCTGGGTCAGCAAGACCCAGGCTCCACCATCAGGTACTATTATTGATCAGGGCGATTGGCCCACTGTGCTGTCCAGCCAGGGGCCGTGATGGCCTCCAGTGTGGCTGGGCTCAGGATCTCAGACAACTCATCAAAACTCTCTCCCTCTGCGGGCCCATCTCTGGGTGTCCTCAGTGTGGACGCAGCTTGGAAGCAGCCGCGCTGTCCTTGAGAAGGCACTGTGCCTGCCAGCAACTCTGGAGCCGCATCCCAGTCAGCAGCCCTGGGAGCCAGGGCTCTTATCTCCCTGGCAAATCCTCCGCTGCCCGGTACAGTGGGACTCGAGCTGTCCCATTACGTCCCCAGAGCTATTAGCGGATGACCTCCTGTTTCTCCTGAAGAGATGCTGGTGGGTTCAAACCACCAACCTTGGCTTTGCCTCCGAGTGCTTTAGCTCTGGCACTGCCAGGCTTCCTTCTTCGAAAGCACTAACACAGTGAACCCACTCCGGCTGAGCCAGCTGGGGCCCACAGCGGCCACAGAGTCCACAGAGCAGATGGCGCCCCGACCTTCCGGGAGGTGCAGATCGAGACCACCAGCAGCTCTGAGGGAGAAAGACGAGGTGTTCTCCTCCCAAAAGCGTCGCAGTTCTCGGAACCACGCCAGGGCAGTTCTACCTAGTCCTGGTGGGTCGCTCTGGGTTGTAATGGCATTGATGGCTGGCGGTGGGTTGAATTATTGAGCTGCATCTTTCTCCCTGGGAGCCGCTGGTGGGTTGGAACCGCCCACCTTTCCTGTTAGCAGCCCAGCGCTTAACCCCTCCTTCCCCAGGACTCATTTCTAGTGTGGTGGTTAATCTGCTTCACAAGGGAATGACTCCCCCAGCCCCTGAACCAGTCACCACAAGGCCAGGGAAGGTGGATTAGCTCTTGGGGTCCTGCAGAGGTGAGCTCCCACCCTGGACCTGGGAGGCTGGCCCCGCACCTTCCTTAGTCAATGGGTGAGAGTAGGCTCTGGGCTGAGTGAAGGAATTAGGCTAGTGAGCCAGGTGACCCAGCCATGGTCACGCCTGAAGTCAGGCCAGGCTCCAAGCCCCCAGGAAGAAACAGCAGTGCTGGGGTGTGGGTGTGGGCGTGGGAAGGTGCCTGGCTGATCAGCTCGGCTGCTTGCTGCAGAGGCAACAAAGTTGCCTCACAGGGATGCAGATGCTGTTTCCACAAGCGGAGCAGAGCAGCGAGCTCTTCTTTGGAGCGGATAGGGCAAGCTGACCCTCCCTGGGCTCAGTCCTCCTCCCTCCGCCTGAGAACAAAGACTTGCTTGACAGCTAGGGAGTTGCTGCCACATTCCTGCCCCGCTCAAGGGTGAGTTCTAACACTGGCAGAGGGAGGCTGGGGAGGGGGCACGGGGGCGGCAGTTGATCCAGCCTGTTGTCCATGTGCTGGGCGGGGAGTCCAGTTGAGCCAGTGCCCAGGACAGCCTGTGTCCGGCTGCTTGACTGTGCCCCTCCCTGGGCCGGGGACTTTGATGAGGCAGCAGCCCTCCGTGTGGTCCCCAGAGGCTCCTGAGGTCCCACCCACCCAGTGGCCCCCACCCCCAGACCTCAGGTTGAGAAGACAGGAGTGCTTCTGAAAACTGGTCGGAGACAAAGTGCTCAGTGTCGGGGTGGGGCCCAGACGCCACTGAGGTGTCCTGCCAGCCTTGGCCAGTGCAGCAGGGGGCTGGGTCAACTTCAGGGGTGTCCCGAGCAGCTGGGACATGCTATGAACCCCCGGCGGGGCTGGCAGCCCCAGTGGTTGAATGGTGAGTGCACTCGCCCAAACAGGAAGGTTGGAGGATGGAGTCTGCCCAGGGTCACTGTGCCAGAGGCCTGGCCATCTGCGTCCGGTAAACCCGCCCTTGAAAAGCCCCTGGAGTGCCGTCCTCCTTGATGCAGCTCGGCTGTGACAGCTGACATGTCACAATCGGGCAGACACAGATGCCCTGGTGGTGCGGAGGGATAAGCGCCCCACTGGGATTGACAGGTGGAGGCCAACTCCTCGCAGGTGCAGGCATCCCTCAGAAGGAAAAAACTTGGGACTCGTGGCCAGCGAGTCCACTCTGACAGCGACACTAGAAGGCAGGGAGACCTGCCCCATGGGTTTCCGAGACTGCCACTCCTCACGGGAGTAGAAAGTCCCCCGTCTCTCGCTCGCACAGTGGCTACTGGTTTCAAACTCAGGACCTTTCGATCTCTGCCCAACGTGTAACCGAGACGCCACTAGGGGGTCCTAAGAAGAAAGGCTATATGCTTCCAAAAAATATTAGCCTCTGGGCCAAACCTCTGTGGAGCTCTCTCCTCCTGAAGCCCATGGTGTTGCTCTGGGTCAGGGTTGCCTCTGGTTAGATTGGGGGGGTAGGGGAGAGCATCAGGAAGCACCCCTCTGCTGGCAGACAGGGAAGAAGAGGCTGACATGAGAGAGCTCATTTCTATGGGAAAGGGGGTGGGGGTGGATCTACTTTGGGAGGACCAGGGGCAGGCCTGGCTTAAGTACCCTTAGACACCCCCCCTCCTCCCCCCCCCCACCCCCGTGGCCCTGTGGCCCACAGGGCCTGGTGGTTGCTGGGCCCTCTCGATGGGGGTGGGGATAGGGTTGGTAGAGCCTTGCAAACGATCAGGTCCGACACGCTGTTCTTCTGCTGGGGCGCAGATTCCAGAAAGTCATGCAGCCTCACAGCCCCAGAGGGGCGGGCAGGAGAGGACTGTCACCCCTCTACCTTGCATTCCCACGGTCCCTGCACGTCTCTTGCCCCAACGCTGGAGAAGCCAGGCAGGAAGGGGCAGCCCTGAGAGCAGGGCCTGGCCAAGTGGTCCCCTGTGGGGCCTGAGGTTGGCATTGGTACCTGTGTGCCAGGCAGGCCCTCTTGACTCAAAGCAGAGCGCTGAGCATCCCATCATAAAGAACAGGCTTAAGACTCAGCTCATCCGGGCCCTCCGAGACTGAGCTTTCCTACGGAGCTTCACGGGCCCGCGAGGGATAAAAGGGGAAGGATGGATAAAAGGGGCAGTTAGACTGCAGCAGCAGAGGATGGGGGCGTTTGTAGCTGGATTATTAGGGCATAAAACACTGCAGACGCAACCTGTCATCTGGAGACAGAGCCGTCTGCATCCACAAAGCCCCTCTAATTAGGGCCTCTCGGGCCCCGTCTGGGGTGTGGGCTGCAGGCGGAGCACGCTTGATGCCCAAATGTCGGCTGGTGGAGAGAGGACGTGGGCAGTGGGGAGTCACGTGGGGCATGATGTGGAGGGCCCCTGACCTACCTGTAGACAGTTTGGCCCCACTCCTCGCGAAGCCGGTGACGCTGGTTTCCTGGTTCCGAGGGGATGCCCAGAGAGGAAAAATACCACCCCGTCCCCAGGCCACACAGCGCTGTGTGATAACCCACAGTGCCACGTCTCCCCCCACCGTCTTCGCCATGACTAAACTCCTGTGGGCTGAGTCACAGGCTTGGGGGCTCAGGGTCACAGGCTTGGGGACAGCTAGGGCAACTGGCCGTGAAGGAGGACCCCTGGTGGTGCAGTGGGCTTTGTGTTTGGGCGATTAACCACAAGATCAACAGTTCGACTCTTCCAGTGGCACTTTAGGAGACCGAGGAGGTTTTCTGCTCCCATAAAGGTTTGTAGTCTCAGAAACCCAAAGGCACAGTTCTGTCCTGTCCTGCAGGGTCTCTGTGGGTCGGAATCTACTTGATGGCAGTCCGTTTTTTTCTTTTGGGATGGTCTGAAATACAGTCCTACACCCTACAGGGCTGAGTAGTCTGGGGTCTTAGAAGTTCCTGAGCAGTCCTTGAAGACGCCACTATTGGTGCTCTCCATCTGGGGGAAAGCAAAGACTCAAGGAAACGATTAGTCCAAAGGGCGAATGGACCATGAGAACCACAGCCTCCGTGATCTAGACCAGAGGAACCAGATGGGGCCCAGCCACTACCGCCAAGGCCTCTGATGGGGACCACCGAGGGTCCTGGACAAGCACGGGAGAAAAATCTAGAACAAAATTATGAAAAACGCCAGACTTGTTGGTCTGATAGAGTCCGGTGGACCCCAGGACTGGCCTCACTAAGGCCTCAGAGACCTTAGTAGTTTAAGTCTTCCGTCCTTCAGACTAGGAAGTAAACGGTGTCACCGGGAGGCCGGACAACAGACAGAGCTCTCAGTTGCTGAGCATGCTGGTAGGAATGTGCTCCTGGGACATCAAGCAATCTCAGCGAGGCTCAGAAGGCAGGAGGGTACAGGAAAGAGAGGCGAGTGGGAACAGGGAGCCCCAAGAAGATGGGATGGAAGCAAAGTGCCCTGCATCCTTCTACCCAGAACCAAAAAACAAAGACAGTGTGGCCCCACAAGGAGAGTCCTCCTGCTGGGACGCAGGGGCAGTCCCCACTGCCTTTGCAGCCACACTCGACCCCAGAGCTGAATGGCAGGCCCCGCACGGTGCATCTTGGGCTGCTTGGTGCTCAGCCTCCCCCACCTCAGCCTCCACCACTCTTGCTTTTCACAACGGCGGCGGGGAGGTGTGGGGCTCCCCCTGTCGGCCGCTGTCTTGGCTCAGAGCTGTTTCTGGAAGTGGCTGAAGGGCCACTCATTCTTTTTGGTGCAGCGACTCTGTTCTTTCCACCTTCTTTTTATGCTTCCTGCCTCGCTCCACCACAGAGGGTCCTGGACAGCACGGGAGACAAACATAGAAAAGGAAACTCAAAATCATGATAACACCAGACTGTTGGTCTGATAAACCAACCATAGCTTGCCTATGGACTCCTTCAATAGCGAAGCTCCAGGCCTGACTTTTTCTTGAGTTCTTTCAGGCGAAGACGTGCGGTGGGTGGTTTCTGAGGCTAAACATCTTTATGGGAACAGTTAGCCTCACCTTTCTCCATAGAAGGGATTGGCAGGTTTGAACCACCGATCTTGAGATGGGCAGCCCCATGCCTCCCCGAGAGCGACCCCTGGGCCCCAGAAAGTCGGCGGCACTAAGTCCATGTGCTGGCCTGATGCTTACAAACTGTCTCCTTCCTTTCCAGCATCTTTCGTTCTTCTGGCCTTGCTGCTGTTTGTGGGGAACACGCAAGCCAACCGTCTCTCAGAGACGCTCTCTCAGACCATTAACCAGATGCTCGTCCACAAGGAAGCCACCCACAGCTATGGGTACGCATTTTGGCTCCTACTGCTGGTCATTCTGCTCAACATCCTCACTGTGGTCATCATCGTCTTCTACCAGAAGGCCAGATACCAGCGGAAGCAGGAGCAGAGGAAGCCAATGGAATACGCCCCCAGGGATGGGATTCTGTTCTAAAGACGTTCGAAGGCAGCTCTTTTCTCAGAGTTGCTTGGCTTGTTGGAACACTCAGCGGGACGTGAAGCCCTGGGTAGCGGTCCTGGTGGCACCTTGTTGGCTCTCATGTCGCCATCTCCATCAGAAATGACCCACCTTGTGGAAGAGCTCCCGCCAGGCTGAGGAAGGTGAATGGGGGAAGGTCACCCTGCCCGGCAGCACACGGAGCAGTAGGACGCTGGCTAGGTGCGCACCTGTGGACCTGCTCTTGATGTTGACGTTAATAAAGGCTTGCGTCCCTCACTGTTCCTTTGAGTGGCCCACAGCACCCCAACCTGTGGTCTCACCGTCCTCAGGAGGGTCCGGGCTGTTTTGTTTCTCTCAATGAGCGAAGAAGGCTTTTAGGTCCCGAAGGATTCCAACGTTGCCTCTAGGGCCCTGTGTTGGAGGCAACTGGTGGGTGGTGGGGGTGGGGAGGATTAGGGACACGCGACGTGGCTCTCTGGAACCCCAGTGTCGGATAGAAGCCCTGAGTCAGTGATCTGCAAACCTCTGGTTGCAATTTTAGGTGGGGCCTTTCAAGGGAAGAGAGCAGGGAGTGAGGCGAGGGTAAGGGAAAGAGGGGGCACGGTTGCCCTGTGGTCTCAGGAAGCTCAATGCTGCATTTGTGTGTTGAAAGGAATTGTGGGGGATTCGCTCACAATGCAAATGACATGTTGCAGTTCGTGCCAGCCATCTTTCGGCACCATCAGGCAGGTCCCAGTGAGTGCTGCCGTGTAGACCCCGGGGTAGCTGGTGAGGTGGGTGCCGAGCATCCTGCACAGCAGACCCCTGTGGCACTGGACACCGAGGATGCGAAGGGTGAGGACAGGAGGTTTGCAGGATGCCTGAGGCAGGGGCTGGGCAGACGGGGTCCTTCGGCTTGGGTGGCCGTTGAAGAACCGATAGCCAGGCAAGTCTGGTTCGTCATCTCATGACAAGGTGGTCAGCAGCCAGAAAACCTAGACCAATGAAAGAATGCAGCCAGCATGGACCCCGCCCACTCTGCCAGTCGGCTTTTCGCCCCAGAAAATCACTTTGGGGGCTTTTCAAGCTTGATTATCCCACACATTGGTCACGGGGCACCTCCACAGGATTCTGGAATATTGCCTTCGTGTCTTGGTGGAACAAGGACCAACCAACAAAACAAACCACTCAACTCAACTATTCGGACCCAGAGGGACCCGTGGGACAAGGGGGAGCCGAGCCCGTGGGTTTCTGAGATGATCAATTCGTCGGGGCTAGAAAGCAGCTTCTTTCTCCGACAGAGCAGCAGGTGGTTTCGAGTGGCTGACCTTGCGGTCGGCAGCCCGTCATGTGACCAGTGCACCCCAGGCCCCCCTTGAGAGCCCACAGAGATGTGGTCCTCTGGGTGTCACCGAGCAGAAGCCCTTTGGACAGAAGATGCATCGTGGATAAAGTCGTCACCAGTGACGGGTGCCCTGGGGCTTTGGTCATGTTTAACCGTCACAGACCTGTCTCAGAAACCGTCATCTTCCAGTCCTCTACCAGAGATGCGTCAACATCTTGCTATTCCAGGAACTGGCCCCCTCAATCCCCTCCGCCCACCCAGAAACTTCCTGCCCAGCAGACATCTAAAAGCAATGACTTACATCCCACTCAAAATGTGCCGTGAGTCACAGAATGGGGCTGCTACCACCATGGTTGTTAGAGGTCTTAGTTCATTCACGGCTGTTCTGGTCAAACTGGACTTATTTAAAATAGCCACCACGCCAGTGGTCAGGGGTGTTGGGGCTCTGCGCGTCCTCTGGAAGGTCGTGGATTGAGCCTGGAAAGCTTCTCTAACATGCCGGTCCCCAGCCGGTGGAGACTCCCCTCGCAGTCTACCAAGGCTGGCCGGCATTTCGACTTGATTTAGTAGCATAGGTGGCCTTTCATCCCTACTACGGTGACGCCATCAAATCAACACTTAGATCTTTCTCGAACCCCTTGGGCTGAAGTCTTGAATAACGGATCTGTCCTTAGTGGCCCCATATCGATAAAGAAATAACAATAATAAAACAAAAGCAGACGGATCCAATGCTATGTCCCTGGAATCATTATTTTCCACCCTTGATAGCTATTCCCACGCACACTCCCCAGGTTGCTGTTGGTGTACGTGAAAAAGTCACCATGCTTTGAGTAGAGGTCAGCTCGTGCTGGGTCACGCTCTGTGTGACCTCTTGGGACTTCAGTCTGGCCACAGGGCTAGAAGGATAAAGGGGTGGTGGGTGCAGGTCCTGGGAACTTTCAGCCAAGTCTTGTAGGGCTTCTCCCCCACCCAACCCCCCTCCCAAACCCGGGCAATGTCTCAGACAAGGACTCTTCAGACCCCTACGGGCTAATCTCAGTGGAGGGCCAGGAAGGGATGAGGGTGGGGGTTCCCGGGGGGTGTGGCTTAGCAGACAAAGATGGAGTGGTCTCTTCAGGTGAGAGTGAGAAGGTTGGTTCTTTAGGTGGGCGCCAGTCAACGGAATGTAGGAGCTCTGGGCCCCCTCGGTCCTTGTTATCCACCCATGTGTCCCCGCCCCACATTTAAGATCCCATGCCTCCCTAATCAATGCCCTCATTTTAACACCATTCAGGTTGGGAATTCAACCGGCATTGCAGTGGGCGTAGTGGTTACCCATTGGGCTACTCATTGAACTGGTCGGCAGTTCAAACCCACCAGCCCCTCAGAGGGAGAAAGAGGGGCTTCTACTCCTGTCAACAGTGACGGTCTCAGAAACTCATGGGCAGCAGCTCTGAGGCGGCATTGCGGCCGTGAGTTTTGTTTGGTTTGGGTTTGGGATGTGGCTCTGGGCTTGGTTTTCACCAGCATCCACTCAGCTGATTCCTGGCACACAATCAGCAACTTTCAGACCTTTTATTCCCAACCTGAACCGCGACTCTGCAGCTTTGAAACATCCCTTCCTTTCACCACGTTGTCTGGAGAGAGCAGGGCCCGCCAACCAGCTTCCTTCTCTGTCTTACTCTGACGAAATCGGAGAACAGCCTCCAGTATCCAAGCGCCTGGAGCCTTGCTTGGCACAGGTGTTTCGTCTATTTTGCCTATTTCTACTGCTGCCTCCCGCCAGAGGCTAGCAGAGTCCTCCGCGCCTTTAAGACCAGCCTGCTTTGAGAATCGATTCAGAAAACTCACCCTTAGGTGTTAACTAAACTGTAATGACTCCTGGTGCCAGATGCCTATGGCTGAGTTCTCTACGGAGCAAGACCAGTGATGTACGTGTCTAGCCCAAACCAAGCCCACTGCCATCACGTCAGTGCTGACTCCTAGCGACCCCCTGTGGGTTTCCAGGGCGAACTGCTCACAGGACAGAAAGCCTATACTTTCCCCTACAGAGTGGCTGGTGGCTTTGAACTGCCTATCGTACAGAGCACAGCTCAATGTGTGACCACTGCCCCATAGGGCTCTCTCTGTACGTAGCCCCGAAGGCCAGAGGATGTGGAATGCAGAGAGGGTGAGCTTGGCCAGATTGTCCATATATATTGGGTGTAAGCCACACCCCCTCAAGGAAACCCCCTCTCAACTGGTCGACTGCTCACATGGGATTCACCAGATGGAGAACATTTGCATAATAGCTGCCAGACCCCTAAGCTTCACAGCCTAGCCACATTGGCATGCAACCTTCACCATGACACCCCTGAATATGCTTTGGTGTGAAGGCAGCCGAACATCTCAGGAGATCAGCTGTTTTCTTGTGCAGGAATCTCTATTGGGTGAAAGTTACTGATATAAAACATAGTGTTCACTGTGAGCGTGAGCTCATCCACCCAACGAGGTCAGAATGACCTCTGAACAGAGGTAATGGTGCTGGGATGAGACTTAGCATGGCTGTCGGGGTGAGGCAGAGCTGGGGAGCCAGGTTGCTGGAGGCAGCAAGGAAGGATGGTTCTGGAGGAAACAGAAGCGGCAGAGGATGTTCTCCTGCTGGATCTGGCTAAGGGGCCGGCCCAAGCCCTGCCCCCCAAGTATCCTCATGTGCCCGTGCACCCTGGCTGTGGGGAGGACACCCGAGCGGGTGCCCGTGAGGAGAACAGACCACCAGGAGCGTGGAGAAATCTGTCCTGGGAGAGGCACAGCAGAACACTCCCCAGAAGCCAGGAGCGCGGGACTTCATCTCACCGATGCTGGACAGTCCTCAGGAGGGACCGTCCCCTGGAGAAGGACATCGTACTTGGTAAAATAGAGGAGCAGTGGAAGAGGAAGGTGCTCAATGAGATGGGGTGACACGGGGGCTGAGCAGTGGGCTCAAAGGTAGCATCAAAGGCTGTGAGGGTGGCCAGGACCAGGAGGGACTCTGAGCTGTCACTCGCGGGTTTGCTATGAGTCAGAACGGCCCTGACGGACCTAACAATGAAAGCAGCAGCACGGCGCAGCCCAGCTGCCACGCAGCGGACATTTCAGTTCTCTCCCGGGAGAGGCACGGGGTACAAGCTTGCCCTCCGCCTCCGCACACCCACAGGCAGGGACCCCACTGTCCCAACAAGTCTTCTCCATGGGGTGTATGTGAGCTGCCCTGGGAGGAGACGAGGGATGGGGCGGCTCCGTGGAACACTGTCTGTCTCAGGGCATATGGCCGGCTTGCTGCCTGGCCCCATGGCTGCTTCCAGTTAACCCTCCCACTGATCTCATGCACCTGTTTCCATCAAGGGAGCTGCTGGGAGCGGCGCTCACACTGACTGTGTTACGGGCGGCAATCTCAAAACACCGCCAATATTTTCCAGGCAATATCCTTACAGTGCTGCGCTGATTTTATAAATCCTTCTCTACGAGGTGAAAAGAATTGCTATTCTGAACAGCGTGAGCATTGAGCTAGACTTCTTAAGTAGAACTAATTCTCACTTTGCGGCCCCACAACTGTTGCTGATCTTCCAACAAGCCTCTATAGCTGTCCCCAGGCCTGTCGCCAGAGGCCGGAGGGCATGTGCATCTGGAGAGAAAAGCCACGGACCATCCGGAAAATGAACAAACGTTTGCAGTGCATCGCGAGAGCCGGAGACCTCACCCCTACTTGCCCCAAGGAACCAGCTCCCCAGGCTCCAGGACAAGACTCCGGTTTCCTGTGAGCATCCCTGTCATTGGGACCCCTTGGGGGACACAGTTGGATGGGGTGGACATGGCCTTACCTTCCGCATGATGCAATTTGACTCTTGGAAGGTCTGCCCGCCGTGGGGAGGATTGGGAGTCCCATTCGCCACGATCCCACAGGACAGAGTAGAATGGTTTCTTAGGGTTTCCAACACTGTCCATCTTCAAGAGA